TTGACAATTGAGAAACTCTAAGTAGACACAACAGAAAGATAAGAGTAAAGAAGAAAGCAAGTACTTGAATATTATATAGGCAAAGCAAGAAGCCATATGGGGGGACCACCCTACATACGCATGATCATAGCTCTTAATTATAGACTAATTAAAACCTAAGCCCATAACTAAACTTTGGGGGAAAAAGGGTTTAGAACAGACAAATTGTGTAGCATGATACTATGGGTGATATAGTTATATTATGAGATGATAAGGTGATTAGAATAAGATAGATATATATATATATATATATACAGACAAAAAGAGAGCGTATATTGGAGTTATATACGACAGTGGAAAGCAGCGTGGAGTATTTCAATATCTATAGTCGGTCTGCGGGAGTGCGTGAGTCAGGTATAGATAGGGTCGTTTGGCCCGGGGGCAGGGGTCAGGATCTTGACCTGTATTTTAAAAAGAAAGGCTGCAACAACTTGGGTTGATAATTTAGAGTAAAAGAGAAATAATTGTTACATCGATATCAGAGAGACTGTGACCGATGAGCTATATACAATATTAGGAAGGCCGGGGTTGAAATCTGAATTAGCTGGTAATTAGATCGAGATTATTGAATTGAAAACGATTTTCGACATCATCAAGTCTTGGAGGATAGTGGTGTAAGAGGGAGAGTTACCTAACTATACAAAATAAAATTTATTTCCCAAATAGTCAATGATCACTTTAATTAGTGGAAGGTCATAAGTCATAACTGAATCATTAACGATTGATATGGGAGTAGTATCTTATCTTAATATATAGATAGATAGATCAATATGCAATGAATACACAACTTGGACCTATATTGCTCGAAGAGCCATTTTCTGTTCATGAAGGAATGATAATTGAGTTTTTAGCCTAAACTCAATTGGTATACTCTCTCTCTAACTGCGATTGAGTCTCTATAAATAGGAAAGTCTCCATAAATGAAGTAGTGTCATGTATAATGCATTCCTTTAAATGGAGAGAGCCTTCATATTTGGGAAAATTTGTAAAAAGACTCAAAATTGGGGATGGAAATTGGGAATGGGGAGGGCTGTGCTGGTGGGCAGGACAACCGCCCGCTTGCCATTTGGCTTTTTTTTCTTCTTTTTAAGATGTTAGGGGCTAATTGGAGTTTAATTAGAAGATTAATTAGGGGTTTAATTAGATAGAATAATTTTCAAGTGTTGTGTGTAAGGAAAAATTATTTAAAAATGATGATGAACTATACAAAAATTAACATGAACAAATTATATTAGATGATCATAAGTAAATTTTTAAGTAAAAAATATGAAAATGGGGATTATCCCCAAATTTGGAGATTGTAGCATTGGAGAAAAATGATGAAAATGAACATCATCCCCAAATTTGAGGATGATGGCCCTTAAATTTGAAGACTAGCATTGAAGTTGGTCTAAGAACAGCTAAAGAGATAAAACACAGGAAACAAATTTTATAAGCATTTTTTTCTTAGTGATCTACCCATAAAAATGCTCTTGTAATACATGACAAAGTTTTGAGTTGAATGATTGAGATATACTTAGTTTTATGGATAGTTTTAAGATAATATTATTATCGTGAAAGGGCCTATACAAATGTTAACAAAAAAACAAATATGCTAGCTTGTTAGGTCAAATTAATTGTTATAGTGGTTCACAGATTGCTCACGCCCCATGTTTTGTTCTTTCATTATCAACCATGATGATTTAACGTTTAACAATAAATTAATGATGTGATTTAGTTACTTTAGTATTGTTGGCCGAGTAGATTAATTGACGGAAATTGAACTTATTTCCTTCTTGAAAAATTAAAAATGAAGAAAGCTGAAGCAAAAAAATTAATAATGCTAATAATAAGTAGGGATCAATAATTTCACCTTTTTTATTTTCTTTAAAAAAACACATGCACAAAGAATGAGTTTTGTTATATGGTTGGGGAAAAAAAGTTTAATAAGAAACCAAGTTTTCCACTCATGTGACAGATCACAGATTCAGATCGAGGTTATTTTTCACCGATAATGAAGTCCATTGTTCATATTCTCCACGGATGATAAGTCCATTAAGTTCCGATTTGGGCCAATTTAATTTTGTATGACATTTTCGTAATTTTTTGTGGCGACGAAAGGTCATTTCTTTGGATTTTGAAGGCGACAGATCACGGATTCGGTCTGAGACTATTCTTCAACGACGATTACATCCATTAAGCACTGATTTTGGCAGATTTATTCCGTGTCAATTTTTGGCAGATTCCAAAGGGGTACTATCATTGATTTTGGGCGATTTACCTGAATGGCATTTTCTTTCGATTCTGGAGGCTACAGATCACAGATTCAGGCTAAAGGCTATTCTCCACCGATAATGAAGTCTATTGATCCTATTCTCCACATATGATAAGTCCATTAAGCTTCGATTTGGGCCAATTTAATTTCGGATGACATTTTTGTAAATTTTTGGGCGACGAAAAACCATTTCCTTTGGATTTTGAAGTCTATAGATCACGGATTCGGTCTGAGGCTATTCTTCAACGACGATTACGTCCATTAAGCACTGATTTTGGCAAATTTATTCCGTGTCAAGTTTTAGCAGATTTTAAAGGGGTACCATCACTGATTTTGGGCGATTTTCCCGAAATGTCATTTTCTTTCGATTCTGGAGGCTACAGATCACGGATTAAGGCTGAGACTATTCTCCACCTATAATGAAGTCTATTGATCTTATTCTCTAGAGATGATAAGTCCATTAAGCTCCAATTTGGGTCAAATTAATTTTGGATGGCATTTTCATAATGTTTTGGCCGATAAAATGCCATTTTCTTTGGAATTTGAAGGCTACATATCACGAATTCGGCATGAGGCTATTCTTCACCGACGATTACGTCCATTAAGCACCGATTTTGGCATATTTATTCCGGGTCAATTTTTGGCAGATTCCAAAGGGGTACCATCACTGATTTTGGGCGATTTTCCCGAAATGACATTCTCGTTCAATTCTGGAGGCTACAGATCACGGATTCAGGCCGAGACTATTCTCCACCGATAATAAAGTCTATTGATCCTATTCTCCATGGATGATAAGTCCATTAAGCACCGATTTGAGCAAACATATTTTTGGATGGCATTTCGTAAATTTTTGCGCGACAAAAGACCATTTTCATTGGATTTTGAAGGCTACGGATCACGGATTCGGCCTGAGGCTATTATTCAACAATGATTACGTCCATTAAGCACCGATTTGGGTGGATTTATTCCAGGTCAATATTTGGCAGATTCCAAAGGGACCATCACAGATTTTGGGTGATTTTTCCGCAATGCCATTTTCTTTCAATTCTGGAGGCTATAGATCACGGATTCAGGCCGATACTATTCTCCACCGAAAAGAAGTCTATTGATCCTATTATCCACGTCTGATAAGTCCATTAAACGCCAATTAGATCAAATTTATTTTCGGATGACATTTTCGTAATTTTTTGGGCGACGAAAGGCCATTTCATTAGATTTTAAAGGCTACAAATCTCGGATTCGGCCTGAGGCTATTAATCAACAATGATTACGTCCATTAAGCACCAATTTGGGTGGATTTATTCCAGGTCAATATTTGGCAGATTCCAAAGGGGTACCATCACAGATTTTGGGTGATTTTTTCGAAATGCCATTTTCTTTCGATTATGGAGGCTATAGATCACGGATTCAGGCCGATACTATTCTCCACCGATAAAGAAGTCTATTGATCCTATTATCCACGTCTGATAAGTCCATTAAACGCCAATTAGAGCAAATTTATTTTCGGATGACATTTTCGTATTTTTTTGGGCGACGGAAGGCCATTTCATTAGATTTTAAAGGCTACAAATCACGATTTCGGGCTGAGGCTATTCTTCAATGACAATAACGTCCATTAAGCACCTATTTGGGGTCAATATTTGGCAGATTCCAAAGGGGTACCATCACAGATTTTGACGAATTTCCCGAAATACCATTTCCTTTCGATTCTGGAGGCTACAATATTTGACAGATTCAGGTCGAGGCTATTCTCCACCGTTATTGAAGTCTATTGATCCTATTCTCCACGGATGATAAGTCCATTAAGTTTCAATTTGGGCCAATTTATTTTTGGATGACATTTTCGTAATTTTTTGGGCGATGAAAGACTATTTTCTTTGAATTTTTAGGGCTACAGATCATGGATTCTGCCTGAGGCTATTTTTCAACGATGATTACGTTCATTAAGCACCGCTTTTGGCGAATTTATTCCGGTTCAATTTTTAACAGATTCCAAAGGGAGTCATTCATCCCTTTAGATTTTGGGCTTAATCTTTATTATTAGTATTTTATATCTATAATTAAAGCTCAATGTATCAATTTTATACTGTTTTAAATTCACAATCAGAATCCAATACTCCCTAAAAGTAATTAGTGTATGGAGGCCTTTTGCAGGAGGCCCCCCAATGCTACCCTTGTGATTGTTGTGGTGTGGTGATGTTCTAGTCTACTTTATAAGTTTTTGGGTTTACTTTATATTATTTGTGGTATGGACGTATGGTTTGTTGTGTTCTACTTTGTGTTTTGCGAGACACGAAATGAATGAATAAGAAGAGCCACACATGTGTTCTCCCCTATAATTTTAAAAAATAACAAGCATGCCCTCTCTTTAAAAAAACAACTTTAATTGTGGTTAACCTCTTGGAAATTAAAAAAATAATATCAAAATGAAATGTTCATATTCAATAGAATTAGTATTCGCACTATACTAATTATCATCCTAACCTCAACCTTCATCCTAATAGTCCAAATCACAAAAATCCTTCATATTTCAATTTTTTTTTTGGGTACACTCATATTTCAAACTTAATATTTTAACCAGATATATTCCATTTTTCAAATGGCACAAAGAAACAAAGAAGTAGATTAACCTAACCGATATTAGAACTTTGAAGTTTAGAGCCCAAGCCCAAATTCCACTCCAAAGTCCAAATCTAAAGCCCTGCACCCTTTCCCCTGCTTTCCCACCGGCCATGCTTTGCCAAGTTATCTCTCCCTGCTCCCTCCCTGCAACAGATTTCTTGACATAGCGATTGAAAACCCGGCTGCAGCTCTTTAACATTAACCCGACGAAAAACTTTCCCGCCACCCTAAAACCGAAAGCAGTAAGAAAGTTCGCAACTTTGCAAGATGCTGGAGGCGAAGAGTCTTAGAAAAGCAGCTGTGCCCTCAACTCTTATCCCCAATCCTTCCCCGGGAAACATCCAGTCTTCCCGCCTAGCTCTCCACGTAAGCCATCCCTTTTTTCACGGTATCATTGTTTCGCAGGTTTTTGAAGTTTCTTCAATTTGCTCTATTGGGTTTTATCTGGCTTCAGGTTAGCGAGGATGGTTCTTCTTGTTGGGTCTATATCGCTTCTGGCTGTCACATTTACAAGCTCCAGGTACACTAAAGAACTTGGATTTACGCCCGGCCCTTTTGATGATTTTGTAGTTTGGCAATGTTGAAATTCCATTAAGGGCTTGTTAAACTGGAACATAGAAGAACTGAAGTTGTTGGAGAATGTAGTATATATTCGTTAGGTCAATCATTTACCACGCATTTGTTGCAAATGATGGTTGCTTGAAGTTGAACTGGCTGGTATGGTGCTGAGCAGACCCTTTTTTTTAACTGTCCATAGATTCCTTTGGAGGGTACTTCCATTGATAAAGGGAAAGAAAGCCTCCTCATTCCTATGCAGTCCGAGGTACATTTTGCCCTGAACTTTGGGGACCTGGTTATCAGTTTTCCATCGTATGTTGAACTGAGGTAATACTGATTATAGTCTCGAATAAATAATATTACCTGATTTTGAAGGTTGTGGAGTCTTCAATAGTCAACCGTTGCCCACACCGCTCTGAGATTCAAAGTATTGTGCTCTCTGAGACTGATAGTAAGTGTCTATACAAAGAGGGATAGGGATTTATGTTGCTTATGTGTAGAGATGAATTTGTTGTTAGAATGTCAGCCTTGACGGATTTGGCAGTTGATAAAATCATTTTCAGGCCCTGGATACTTGGTGCTGGGAAGCGTGGATTCTTACGGCCATCTTATTGTGTCTAAGCTAGATAACAGTGGTAATGGTAAGTAATTGTGTCTTTGTGATCTTTTTGCACATGATGGTAATTTTATGCATAACTCGTGTCAACTAATTTGGATAATTAGTGGTAAAATGTGGCGGTAACATAATCAGTCCTTTGCTTCTACACTTTTCAGATGTTGACAGACTTATATATTCAGTACTTCCTCGAGATTCTGGAGTCGGAGAAGGCGGTTGGGCTGGATTATGTTTCAGTCCAACTCAATTATTGACGGTACTGTTTCATTGTTGCACTTATCGTATTTTACCACAAATAACAGAAAACTAGTGAACTTATCAGTCTTAAAACTGTCTGTTCAATTTGGTGAATCTTACTCTAACTGGATTCTTCCCCTCGAATCTTCATCTATTCTCCAGGCAGCTGTAGCGCGTGAGTTCTGCAAAACTGTTGACGTGTATGACCAAGACATTCATTTGCAGACATTACATACGTAAGTAGTAGATGGAATAGTCTTAAGTTCTTTTTACCAAGCTTAATTGAGCAACCACGGCTTCCAAAATGCCAAAATTCCAAATCTTTCTAGTTCCCCCCGGACTTGCTTTGTCTTTTATGTTCAGATGTTTCTTCCAACATGTCTGTTGTTATGTTTCAGACTATGGTATCCATCCTCTCTAAACTATATTCAGGGCTTGAGTAATGATGAAGGGAGTTCGATACTAGCTGTCACGGAAGGATGTCAGGCAAGCTTTTCTTGTGCCTTGCTACTGTTTTCTTGTTCCATAACTTACATTCAGCATGAATTTGATTTGGGTTCATTTGCTGGACTGCAGTTGAGCATTTGGGACTTGAGAATGAAAGAGAAAAACGGTTGTCTGCATCGGATCACTGGGTCAGTGGGAGACATCTTTTATTCAGTTTGTAGTTCTTCAACTGGAAATATTGCAGTGGGCGGTGCTGATCGTACTGTTACTGTTTATGATCCCCGTAGGTTGGTATTCATTCTTTTGTCAACTTATGTTAACCTTTCAAACATAAAATGTCTTGATTTGGTTTCCGGTTTGACTTTAGATGGAAACCACTCTCTAGATGGGTGCACTGCTCAAAGTATGAGGTTCGATTTTTTTTTTTTTTGGCACCCATGCTCTTGCTAACATTATTGTGCTTCTGTCATTAATGCATTTATGCTCACAATCGTTTGGCTGCATTTGCAGATAACTGGACTTGCATTTTCATCAATTAACCCCGACTACATATACATCCAAGGAGTGGATTATGAGGTGATTCTTTTAGAAGCTCCCCCAGCTAATTTTCCTTGGAATGCTCATAAAATTCTCTACTGTCTCATAATGCTATTCCATCAAGCTAAGCAGTTCCGTTGAAGTAAAAACAAAGTTTTCTCTATCGTTGTTGTCTGTACCTCTTTTATTATTGCATATCCCTCTGATACTGCCTTTTGTTTCATGATTTGTACTTTGCATTTGCAGGTTCTGTGCGGAAACTGGAAAGAGACTAAGAAGGTCTTCTCTTTTAGGGGGGACTCAAATTGGTTGGGTTTCAGTAAGGTATCTTTCTTCTTCCCTCGCCCCCTCAGTTTTTTTTCTTCCTTCGTTTCTTTCTGCTGTATGATATCTTTTGAAAGCTGTGCACTGCAGCTCTTAATACATTTATTTAATTACAATCTTTTAGGTCTATCTGATTGTCATCCTGGCTTCCAGCTAAAGGGTGAAGTGAGTTTCTAGTCTAGGAATTTCTTTGTGAGGAAAGATCCAGGAGTCTTGAATTAGAACAAAACTTGACTGCAGTCAGAATCTGTCATGCATGTCGTAAGCTGTATTTCCTTTTGCTCTCCTTGACTTTCTAACAGTAATTGTCAAATTTTAGTCTTATGGTGATGGTAATAGTGGTACATGCTATGTCTATGCCATCAATAGTAGTAAAACCAGCCACAAGTGTTGAGGTGAAGACAAAAGAAGATAACCTGATGAAAACCAAATAGTTAGGACTGTCAAAGCACTGTAGTATACATACTAAAGCTCTCGTGTTTTAGAGGCCTGTATTTTGGTATGGATTCCATGTTACTGGAGCAATAATATGGAACATGAAGTGCATTTACCTCACTGCGGTACTGACAGGACAGCATACTAGAAGGAAATGATATGTCCCTGCCCTTATAGTGTTAGGTTGGTGGGACATGCACTGCGAAGTTGGTTAGCAATTAGCATAGGGTTCGTTCTAAGTTAAAGAATGCTTTGTGAGTTTCTTCAACGATGAACTCAGCATTCAACTTTCCAGGTTGTTGTTTCAGTTGTACTCTAAAAGAGCAGATAAATGCTAATCATCCCAACAGTATAATATTATCATGCTACCCCTTAAGTTTAGGATAGATGTTACCCCTACCCTTTTGGCATGGCTTTGGCGGATTATGAGAGCGAGTAGTCTGAAATCATATTTCGGGTTTCCTGTCTGAATCATGATGAACTTTGATATCAACAAAACATTCGAGTTATTGTGGTGAATCGGTGTGATTCTTAATACGCGAAAAGTGACAGCGGCAGCAACAGCTAATCTCACATGCTTGTTCTTATGATATATGATGATGCAGAGCTTCAACAGAGACGTGGTGGGTGGATGGAGTGATTCAGGTAGCATCTTTGTGGCTGATGTTAGAGGTGAAGAATGAGTGTGCTGGAATCTAAACCCACCACAAAGCTTCCTGCATGCAAACATGGTCATCACTGGTAGTACAGTGGTGGTTCAGCAGTCTTTCTGATTGATGATCCCCACCGATCCACCACGACCCCATGTTTGTATTCCTGAAAAATATGACACAGCAGGACATCACAACGTGAGATGAGTGCATACTTTTTGAACCAATCAAAGAGTCTAGAGGATATGGTTCCTCACTTCCTTGGTCCTGGAAGTTTGAAGCATCCTGAAAATGGGCGCATTTTGACTTGGAATTGTGAGTTCAATCGATTCATTGACCTTGTAGATCCATAGGAGGATGGATTTGGTTACATGTTGGTTGGTCAAGTCTTGGATTTCTGTGAAAATGTCAATTCAAAGGTTTTGAAGGATTGACTGATTGGGATCCCTAATCTTTTTCTATAAAGGCTTTCAAAGTCTCATTTCCCAAAGACTTCATGAATGGATGGATTACTTGGATCCTGTAAAAGTGCGTTTTGACTCCCAAGATTGTTGAAACTTGGAAAAGTTCTTCCTACAATTGAATAGAGTCAGTCATTAACAAAGACAGCAGATCCTATATCTTTGCTAACCAAATTATACAAGAACTAGGTTTTTTTATAATAACTTGGGATTTAGAGACCTAAAAAAAATCATTACAGTCAATCAAATTATAACAAACATTAAGATAGTGTCCGCGATTAACTAAATACTACGTCGCTTGGATGTGAGTTATAAGAGAACTTTTCAATTACGAGAATTAGTATCCGAAAGCGGATAACACAGGGTATTGAATTATAGTCCGAAAGCGGATATCTGGATATGCTGGTGGGCCTACCCATTTGTCAAAATGGAGAGAAAGGAAATAGATGAAGCCTAATGATCTAAATAAGGGCACCACGGATTAAGCTACCATGGCAATCTCCAACATATTATGTGTAAATTGAAGAAATTATAATAACACTTTGTGAGTGCTACGTCGCTGTTTTTCTTTTGTCGTTTGTGTTCTTTTTACAAATATCAAAATGCAAATTCATAAAAAAAAAATGCAATGATAAAAAAAGTAAAGGATTTATGTATCAAAAATGAAAATACAACGATAGCGTTGAAAACTCCTCAATTAGCTAGAAAGGTACATTTCAGAGCATGTTGTATTTTTTTATTTAATTTTTTTGGCTACTTAATACAATACCAATATAGAAATAGAGTAGAGGGGAAATAAGATAGAGACATACAAAATTAAGAGGTTGGCAGCATGGCTATTAATTACTGTGTCATGGTGGTGACATTTGTTTAGAAATTTTGAAGGTAGTTAGGCCATCTATTCCAACACTTATTATAGCCCCATTGTTATATGATTGTCCCAAATAAAAGCTCCCAATGTACATGTTCACGTGTTCGTATTGAATGCACGGTAATTTGGGACGGAAGTTTGGTTTGCGGTTAACAACAAATCGGATCGTAACAAATGTAGCTTTGTCGGTCACTAATCATAATATGTGATTGGTGGTTTAACCGTGGCTGACAAAATTTTGCATTTTATTGTTAGTGATCAATCACTAACCACTGTGATTAAACCACAATAGTCACACAAATCGCATTTATCCATCAATAGTAATATTAATAAACATAGTTAACAATTTTTAGGACTTGTCTAAAGTCTATTAGTTAGTACTTTACTAATTTATTTGTTATATTGTTGAATTAAATATGGAAGACTTATATTTTATGTTGATTGTTGAATTACTTACGGAATAAGAATGATGTTGAATTGTTGCTAATTTGTTATTTCCCTAGCTTTTATATCTTCCCTTTTCTTTGCTACATTTTCTTATTTTGTCTATTTTTTGTTTGATACTTTCTCCATACATCACACATGGGTCTCACATTTTGTTATCGTTTATGTTCTCGATTGTATTTCTCTACTTTTAATTTCTTTTTTTTATTATTTATATATTTTTCAAATTTATAATAAATATATATAGATGAATTTATGATTTTAATAAATTGATTTTTGTTGTTAACCGCAACTGAACTGCATCAAACTCTGCGGTTTGTGGTATAGTTTTGTATAGTATTGTTTTGGATGACCGAGAGGTCTTGTTATCGATCGGCTTTCGATGACCCTCATTTAATTGTTAAGCACGTGGTATTCGGAACTGTCCAAACTTCAAGCTCATATGATGTGACTTTCTTTTGAGGTGTGTATTAGTAAATGATATAAAATCTATAATTAAATCTCAACAACTGGAGTTATTAAGACCAACTGGTTATTGACAACTTCCGGAGAATACTTCACCGATATGAAACATTTTAATATTAGTTGATCAATACCTGATTCTATAATGAATCATCCCACAACAATACCTATATTTTTGTTCCAAGTCCCCTAGGTCATCAGAAGTTCGGCCATGATATAATCAACAGATCCAAAATGTGATCTACCAAAGTATCCAAAATAAGGGATATATTGTGCATTATTTTCTGCCGAGGAGCAGGAGTGCATTAAATTAAATTAGGAGGATGATTCATCAAACAGAAAAAAGTAGGAGGATGTAAAGGCCTCATCGTTGATAAAACTATTTGACCCAATCCATGCCCAACGATACGATATATGGAATCCTCTTTTCTCAAATCAAATTCCTGTTAATTATTTATACTAAAATTATATTACCATTATAAAACTACTAAAAAAGCTCCAAATGGATCAAATTATAATAATCTATAATATAGCTCCAATTCTATAAACCTACTATACTTGAGGGCGTGCACTGTGCTTAGAAAATGACGTTCCTAGCTTTGCCTATTCTATTCTATGATGAAGTTTGGTTGCCTAATCAAAGATTCTTTAGCTCTTCCATAAATCAAATGGTCATTGTTTAAGTTAAATAAGCTATCATATATTATTCATTACCAAAATAAAGAATCATACAATATTGGCCGGTTTACCTAAATTTGATAAAGAAGAAGAAAAAAAATCATTTTTCCAAAGAGATGAAATGCTCTGACAAATAAGGTTTTCAGTTGCACGATAAATGCGGCAGTTGGATTATATTGCGTACACTCTTCCGAAAGTCTCTTAATCTTGGTGTAGTATTGAGTTATATATTGATCCAACACCTAGCTTGCAAACATGAATCTCAACTTCCATATTCGTAATCCCAATAGCATCAGGTTGACGAGGAATTCTCCGGTGGTCCGGGACTACCACGTTGGATGGCTTATTTGGTGCTCCCGGCCAGTAATAAGCTGCCATGTGTATAATATTAAAATTACTAGACTTTCAATTCTTCTCTTCTCCGTCTGATTTTTTCCCTTCGTTTCTCTCTCTTGCTATTTCGCTGAAACCACCAGATTTAGGGCTCTAATTCTGAATTCAATCAGGAGCATACAAGTTAATGTGAATCTTCTGAGGATTTCCCATCGCTACTGAATATGATTTACAGTTCAATAAAGATTCAACTTAGATTATGGATCGATGCAATTGTCAGATTATTGATTTTTTCTCAATCGACGATATCGCTACCGGCCGGAGACTATCTTCTCTTCATCGATTCATTCCCAACTAATCATTGCATTCTCACGATTCATAACTGATATACTAATTTCTTTATAGAGTGAATTAGTGATCCAACATAACACTAGTACGAGGAGTGTTGTCTCCCAGAGATAATGAACTACGATAAGCTTGTATTACATCATCACATTCTAATCGATAGGCAGTGATCAGAAAGTCGAAAGTATCGAGTATGTTTGAACTCCGTCGAATTCATAGTAGTTTTATCTTTCGTTTTCCAATTAAAGTTCAAGTCAACACATACTTGTCTTTGTCATATGCGTCCAGCCAAATGTCAACGAAAATAATGCATTCGATTCCGACGAGTCCACATATTCCGACGACGCCCTGGCCCCTAGTAGCTATTAGAGATAAGTCAATTTTGTCGTTTTTATACTTTGTAGCATATACGTTTATTGTAATTGCCACCCATCATTACTACTGTTGGCTGTCACTCTAATATGATATAAATATGTTAATCAAATTTTAAATAGATATATACCCACTTTTAGTAGACGACAACACACTAAACTGGTGAATCGCTAATTTAATCAACCTTCAATAACTAGTATTCTTGCTTGTAACGTTTTATTTTGTTTTGCTGGAAGAAGCCTGTAAAAAACACCACTCTCTTATAATACGAACGTCGTATGGAATAGAATCATTGTTTGTGTCATAAACAAAAAATCATGTTAGAGTAAGTTTGTGGAACCACCGGTACAGAGCCTTAAAATGTTATGGGACTTTCATCTACGTCTGTTAGTTAATCCAATCGTATATTTCAATAGTACGAAGGTCCTAAAATCGATTAAAATAGAAGAATATCCGCCCTTGTAGACAACTGGATTTCGATGGAAACCCAGAATTGGCCGTTCTGTGAGTTTCAACTAAGTAGCCCTATCTACCTATGCATTTGGGCACCAGCTTGGCGCTAGGTCCGGCACGACGGCGCCATTAAATGCAATTCTCCCCAAACCGACTTTCCAACGTAACCAGAGCTTGTAAGAAACGGATAACATGGGTTGTTTGTAGGGGATAGTCGGTCAGCCCGTCGTGTCGATCAACTAATCGATAACCGACAGTTAATCGATTATACGTTATCGGAATGGTTAATGGTTGGTTGAAATGATTTAGTGATCGATCGGTTATCGATTAGTTTATCTGCATAACCGGCTCGGTTAACGATTAATCGATAACTAGCCGGATATGAATGTTTGTGTTTCACGCTCTCTCGGAACGGTTAAGCCCCCCTCCCCTCGAAAAGAACTCTCGAATTTTCGAATAAACAATCTTCTCTCGGCCGCTCCGACCCTCTTCTTCTATTCTCAATTTCCCCCCGGTGTTACCCAAAAATTCACAATGCAAAGAGCACTGTCGATTTTTGTGATTGAGATGTAGGGATCAAAATTGGATTGGAAAAGTTCAAATGAGATCTATGCTGGAGGAAAGATAGGAAAAACTGCCCTCCAATTTCTTCTCAACCAGTCCGCACTCATCACTAAGGGGTCGTTTGCTTCATGGATTTAAAAATGAGGGTTTTGTAATTTAAAAACCCAATGATTTATCAAGGATTTGAGGCATCATGGATTTGTAACAATCCTTTGTTTGTTGGGATGTTTTTATCATGGATTTAAAGGTGTGGGATTTACTACTTGAAGTCAAAATTACATTACTGCCATTTTCTATATGTTTGACATGTTTATGATATGTACACAAAAAGAGGACAAAATTTCAAAATTACCTTACTATCATTTTCTATATGTTTGACATGTTTATGATATATACACAAAACAAGGACAATACATACTAATAAGCATAATGTTGCCACATGGACAATAATAATAAACGAGAAAATTCCGTTTTAACTTTTAACGTAACATAATCAATTACCAATTCTTTGTCCTCCTT